CTCCCAGGAGAAAGAAATTACACGCCAGGGATTATCCCTCACCCCCCCAAAAAAAATCTACTCGATCACCAGAGCGCTGTTCACTTTTTAAAACTGAACTAAAAATTTTTCGAGTCCCCACTCTCCAGTCTGCCGCAGTTCCCATAACTACGATCCTACACAACGGCTCTGTCTGTCTGCCCCCAGAAATCATGTGCGCGTGTGACCCAGAGAACAGGGCTCACAGCTCCAACAGAGGCAACTTCTGTAATCCGCTGATCTAGCAATTCGCTCAACATCTACTCACTGAGCAAACACAGTGCGGGAGGCCCAGAGCCACCGCTGGGCACGCTGCACTGCGCAGGAGGGCCCTGCCTCCACCTTCGGGCAGATACTAAGTGAACGGGTGCTAACGGTACAGTGTGACAACACGGCTTTACAAACACCTGGCGGAGCTGGGCAAGGCTTCTCAGAGGGGAACTGGGCTCAGGGAGGTCTGGGCGGGGCAGGCAGACTAGGAGTGAGAGGGGGAGGGGGCATGCAGGGTGCAGGTGGTGCTCCCGGCAGCACGTGCAAAGGCCCAGGGGCGGAAGGAGGTGGCAGACCTCAGTGTGTGCGTCTGAAATGCGAGGGACCATAGAGTCACAGCACTGTAGTGACCCAGTCAATGCTCCCGAACAGCTGGGTGAACTCCAAACCATGCCCTTCTCCCCCGACCACGGGAGAGGTCTTTTCGTGCGGTCAACGGGGCACCTGTGCTGGCAACTCAGGGCACCTGCCCAGTATTAGATTCCTAACGTATGAACCATGTCTAATACAACTATCAGATTCCTTACACGGAGTCACATCCCTGGCCTGGAAAAACTCCCAATTTAATAAACATTTCTTTATTCTCCTAGCCGGTCCAAAAGAAAGACGTTGTTATATTCTTGGGTGACGAGTTGTGAGAGCTCAGAAGACTATAATATGGTCTTCAGACACACATATCTTTTTTAAAATTTAATCTTTATTGTATTTTTCCCAGTAGCATTTAGCCCCCTTATACCTCCCTCCCCGCAGCAAGCACCACACTGTTGTGTCCGTGTCCATGAGTCCTTTTCCCTTTTTGCTCAAACCCCCACCCCCCAACCTCCCCGCCCCCACTAGCTGTCAGCCTGCCTCCACCTATGAGTCTGTCCCCAATTTCCTTGTTAGTTCAGTTTGTCCATGAGAGTCCACGTATGAGCGGCATCACATAGTATCTGGACACATACATCTTATATGGAGGGAGACAGATAAAAATTCTGAAAGAACAAATTCTAAACATTAATGAAAGATAGAGAAATCGTCTATTTGGTTCACCTCTTTCTCTATTTCTTTTTACAATAAACAATCAATCACTGTTTGTGTATGAACTCCACAGGGGCTGGGCCAGGAAAGTGGGGGTGCGGGGGCAGGAGGTCCCCAGAGACTCAGCCGGTTTCCCATCTCCCAGTAGCTGTCCCCACCCACTCGACCCCTTTAGTGTCTTCCCTCAGTAACTGCAGGTCTCCCTGGAGGGGAGACGAAGGACCAGAAGCCCTAACCTTTGCGGCCTCAAGGACCTGAAGGCCAACAACAAGGGACAGAGGACGAGGCCGGAGACCACCAGCAGGACAGCACAGGGAAGGAACAACGTTTGCCTAAACTCACAGACCGCGGACAGCTGAGGGCCCTGGCACACCCCTGAAACCGGGAGGCAGCCCCAGGGGGAGCCCACGGCAGGCCCCAGCCCCTGGCAGCTCCAAGGAGCCCAGGAATCAGAGGTGTTACAAAGACCACTGCTGAGATGAACCAGTCTCACCAGACACGCATACACGTTCTCAAGCACATGTGGATGGTGTTAACCATCAGACCCATAACACTTAACACTCCCTTTGTCATCCCACTGTTTCTCAGTCAGACGACACTGCAACGCCACTCTCAAGAAAGCACCTGCCTCGCTTTCTGATGGGAAGGGGCGTCCGTGCTCAGAGGCGGGGGACGCGCGGGCAGAGAAATGAGCTCGGGTCTCCAGCCGGCCGGGGCAGGCCCCGCCAGGCAGCTCCCCCCTCCCACTGAGCCAGCCTGGGCACGCTCCTTAAACGCGGAGCCTGGCTTTGCACGTCCCGAGGTGAGAATAAAATAATTCCATGAGCCTTCCCCCGAGGGGGAACTCGACGAACTCGGTCCTCCAGCTGACTCTCTGCTCCCTCGCAATCCCCCTGACGTCGGAACAGACCGACAACCGCCACTCCAAAGGCCCGTGGTGAACCAGGCCACCGGCCAGGCCCGGCGCTGTCCCCTCCTGGCATTCCCTCTGAACCCACGGGAAACACAAAAGGCGACACGTAAAAAAAAAGCAACTCAAGATTTCTTCTTTTTTTTTTTTTTTGTAGGAATATGTTAAGATCAATCCCTGCCTTTAGAACAAAGTGCAACTCATTCTTGGAGAGGGTCCGAAAGGCAATAATAGTATATTCAGTTTTATCAACATACAACCGGAGTTGAAAATTATTCTTGACGTGCGTTCTCAATGGTTTAGATGACATGAAAGTTAAAGATAATGCAAGACAAACATGGACAAGCTCACCCTAAAATTCCTTCCATGGTGAAGTCTAAGTTACCTGACACGGCACTGGGAACTGAATATTTTAAGTCGACGAGCACATGAAATAAAAAGAGAGCAAGAGTGTTTTAAGGGCTCTACTGGCACAGCGCAATGAGGACTGCATTGTCAGTGTGGACTCACATGGAGTTAAACAGTATATTTTTTTATATTTTTATTTTCAGGGGGAAAAGCGCCTTCTCTGCTACGAAGCCCGAAATGGGTCACCGTTAGAAGGACTGATGCTGCTGCACCTGAACCACCTTTGAACCCCCAACGGCCCTGCGCAACCAGCTCCTGAGAAGACAAAGCCGTCGGGTCCACGGCGGCGCCACCGATTATTTCTCCTCTTTCGCAGGCCCTTCCACCCGCGGAGCCCACGCCCCAGGGGTTTCGGTCGGGGCAGAAGGACACCCGGCCCTTGCCGGGACCGCACAGAAAGGCGAACATCTCCCTCTTTACAAGCAGCGCTTCTCTCGCTGTACAGACCAGTAAACCGAGGCCACAAGAGCTCAGGCATCTTCCCGAAAACGATAAAGCTAGGGAGTTGAAAAGCAAAAGCGCACCCCGAGTCGTCCCAGCCCACACCTCTCCCCGATGAACGGCTGGAAGACTACAGACCGGCTCACTCACCCAAAGTGTGCAGGCGTACCTTGGCTCCCTGCACTCCCAGATCTTGCAATTTTTGCAGATTGAAAGTAAGACCCTCCGCCAACAAAGAGATAAGGACTTTGCTGAAGGTTCAGATAACGGTTAACATCTTTGTAGCAGCCAGGTAATTTTTAAAATAAGGCAGATACATTCTGTTTTTTAGACATAATGCTGTTGCACACTTACTAGGCTATGGTATAGTGTGAACGTAACTTTTATTTGCACCAGGAAACCAAAATATCCCTGTGATTAGTTTTATTGCGATATTCGCTTTATTTCGGTGACTGGGAACCAAACCCACAGCGTATCGGAGGCATGCTTGTATTTTAACTGGTAACATAACCTAAGAAGACATTAGTCATACACCAACATCCTCTGGATAATAAGTGGAGGAGCGGTGTTAATTTAGTTGAATCTTCTCTAATTTAATTACTCTTTTTATCCATAATTACAAAGCTGATGGTAAATTAAGAAGTACTGTCATTTTATTCTCTCCCAATAAGTACATACAATAGGTTATATTTTCAACGAGTAAATCAAATCAATATCCGAACCCTGCTTGGGGTAGTGAACACACAATACAATATACTGATGATAGACTATAGAATTGTACACCTGAAGCCTATATAATTTCATTAACCAATGTCACCCCCAATAAATCCAATAAAAAGTAAAAACTAAAAAACTACACGATAAAAAGCCAAAACACACACACACACACCCCGAATCCTGAAGCTTAGACATGCTGTACATATGGGAAACCCAAGGGCTATTTTAATTAAAGCTCCTTCTGGTTTTCAGATTGCAACACAGACCCTAAGCGCTTTAAAGATTCACATTAATTCCAAGGTTTTTAAAAAATGTATTCACAGAAGAAAGCGTCTTCTGCAATCTGTAGGTTTGTACTCGTTTCCATCAGCTAAGAGGTATTTTGGAATGCAGTCAACGATACTGAACACGAAGTCCTCGCAGCAAGGAGAGGCCTCAGAGACAGTGCTCTCACGCGTGGGGCCACCGCTCATTCAGTTTTAAGCCCCGGTGTCCGGAAAGGGGGGCCAACGGGGAGAGCATCCTAACTTAACAAGGAAGACAGCAAGGCATGTTCCAGCGGCCCCCTTTCCCTTTAAGGCTACCTCCTCAATACAAAGCTGCATTGGGACTCCTTTCACACTGCCAACAATGTAGTATTAATGTGTGCACGTCCTTCTTCCCCTCTCAAGAAAGGAGCCCTCCGCTCCAGCTGGAAGTAACTTCCCAACGCTCTCCTGCAACTAAAAGGGAAAACGAAAAACACCACTCCTTCAAAAAAAAAGAAAAAAAAAAGTATGGAGAACTGGCAGGCTGTGTGTTTATGTTAACCTTAGAAAAGATGGAGCAGCAGCTCACCGGAAAAAGCGTTCCCTGTGACCCAACTGTGGACTGTGGGGCATCTGATGCATCTCACCCTGCACACCCCCCGTGCTCAGGTTCTGCACCCGCTCGGCTGTGTCCACCCCCGAAGGCCCGAAGAGCCAACTACAGCGTCAACGTGAAGAGTGCAGCTCTGCTCCCTGCCTGGGGCCTGATCTTAGAAATGCTTGGATCGAATATATGCATGTCTCCTCTGCTTTTTAAAACCGAGGACCTCAGGCTTGCGATGTGGTTGAAGGGCAGAAACAAGAGGAAAAGAAAAGAAAAAAAAAAAAACAACCCAAACACGGAGCAGACTAAGAACAAAGGAAACGCCAGCGTGTGAACAGGAAATGAAGCAACTCTCAACAAATACCTTTTGGGGCCGCCGACGTAGGTGAAGGTAAAGGTGGAGTCGGAGAACCTGAAATCTGAGACAGAGAAGTCGCGTTACGAGCGGCCCCCGGGTGGGTCTTCTCCCCGGGTCAGGGCTGGGGCCCCGGGCTGGCGGAGCCGGGCGCCCGCGCCTCCGGCGGGAGGCGAGGGCTGGGGAGCCGCGGGGACCCCTCGCGCGTGGGAAGGGATGCCCCGCGCGGACGCCGCGGGAGGCCGCCCCCCGCAACAAGTGCCGGGCGCCATGGCAACGGCGGGAACAGCCCGGCCGGGGCGGCCGGAAGCGGCCCCCGCCGCGCTGGAGGCGGCGAAAGCCGCGCGCGCGGTCCCTCTCCCGGGGGAGCAAGATGGACGCGCGGCGGCCGGCCGCGGGGAGGGGACGCGGGCAGGCCGGGCGTCGCGCGCGCCCGGGACCACGCGCTGCCGGGCGGAGGGGGCCGGGCGGACCCGCGGGAGCCGGAGGTCGGCCCGACGCTGCCCGCGGGGCCTCGGCGCAGCCGGCCAGCGCGGCGCAGCGCAGCGGGCTCGGTCCCCGGCCACCGCCGCCGCTCAGCCCGTTGCGCAAAGCCGCCGGGTCCCGCCGCCCCGCTCGGTCGCTGCCGCTGAAAGCCCGGCGGCGGACTCGGGCGCTCCGGGAGTGCAGGGGCTGCGGGGGGAGGGGGGGCTCAAAATACAACCGAGGCCCCCGGCCGGCCGGGCCATCCCGGTTCTGCCCGCGAGGCTGCCGGCTGCCCCAGACTGGGGGGAGGGGGGAAACGGGACCGGCTGGCGCCCCCTCCCCCTGTGGGCTCCGGCTCTCGCCGCCGCAGCTGTTGCCAAACGAGCCCCGGAATGGGGACGTGCGACCCACCCCCACCCCCGGCCACACACGTCGCGGTCTGCAACCTGGGAAGGGGGCGGCGGGCGACTGGGCGGCAGGCGCAGGGTCCGAGGCTCGGAGAGGCGAGAACTCACCTGCAAACAGGCAGTCCTTCTCGGCTCTGGACTTCTGGATCACGACGTCGATATCCTTCTGAATTCGCTCTTGCCTTGAACACATCCCCATGAAATCCACCCCTGGAAGAGAGGCAGCCGCTATTTCCACCCACCCCACCCCCTCGCACGCTTCCAGCTTTCTTAAATACTCAGTTAAAAATGAAACCTCTGGCCGAGGCAGGGGCTGAAGGCGAAGCTGCTTCGGAAGTGCTCCTGGGGGAGGGAGGAGGCGGCGGGGGGAGGGGGAGGGGGTCAGCTTTGCATTCCCAGATGTGACCGCCCAGCTGCCGCTCGCCGCCGCTGGATTCCAGTTTCCTGCCTCCTGACAAAGGATGCTGATGACACCGAGTCTCACTTTCTCCCTTCCCTGCCCGGAGCGAGGGCCGTGGGGGCCCGGGGTGCTGGCGGCGGCCGGAGAGCGAGCAGCGGCGGGGCGGCAGGCGCCGGCGAGGGGCGAGCCCCGCTCCGCCTCCCGCGCGCACGCCCCCCGTGGCCCCCACGCCGGCCTCCACTCCCGCGCACACTCGCGCCCGCGGGCGGTGCCGAGGCTGCTGCTGCAGCGCTGCCCGCCGCAGACCCTCCGCACCCGCTGCCCCGCCGCGCGCGGTCACCCGGCCCCGGCCGCTGGTGCTGCGCTCGTCGCCGCGGTCCCGGGCGCAGGCCGGGTTCCCCACCCGGGCCGCCGCGCGCGCCGGCCTCGGTGGGAATGCAGGTAGTGAAGGCGCCCCGGGGCTCCCCGCCCCCGCCCCCCAACCACCACTTTTATGAATGCCACTCCACTTTCGGAAGGAATTATGAGTCAGATGGAAAACCCTAACCGGAGTGGCCAAGGAGGGCGGGGGAGGAATAAAGAAAAATCTTTTAAATTGAAAAATAAATAAATAAAGCGAACAAATCTCTCCTTGTTGCCACATCAGGCAAGGCGAAAAAGCTCTGGAATTACCCCAGACGCGCACCCTCCGGTACCCTTACAGCCAGAGTCTTCCTCCCCAAAACGGAAAGCGGTTCAGCCCCTTTGGGGTGCCCTTTAGGGGACGCAGCCCCTTTTGAGGGGCTTCTCCCACATCCGAAATCTCACAAGTTCTTCCCTCATGGGCATTTCTGTCCATAAAAAAAAAAAAGGGTCAGACTCAACCGGCACGGGTCAGGGACTCCCTAAAATAGAAACATCTGTCTGGCTTGTTTGAAAAGGCCACCCCTGTGCCCGTCAGTCAAGGGAAGCGCTTACAATCCTCTTGCCTCGCTTAGAAATGAGATACTACTCTGAGCCCCACCTACTGCTCCGCCTCAAGGCGCCCGGGGCTGGTGTAGCTGCCCGGCCTAGGTACTGCCCTGTGCTGTGGGACGGGCTTCCAGTGGTAGATTTCTGACTGCTCCCTTCTCCGCTGAGAAGGCTTCTCCGGGCGGACTGCGGCTCATCTGCATTCCCCCGGCCTGGTGCAGTGCCTGGAATATGGGAGGGAAGTGGCTATGTTGGTTGCGTGCGTGAACAGCCGTGCCTTGCAGCCTCTTGGTAGGTACCCCAGTTTCAATCAGCTTCCTCATCAGCCTAAGGACCCCAGAGTGGTCAAACCAGCTCAGACCCCTTTATCAGCCCTGTTCAGACTCGGACGGTGACAATGAGATGTTTAGGAGAATTAAGAATGACTGTCATCGCAGGCAGATTCTTAAGATCCTGGGACACAAAGGCCATGGGAGATTATGTGCTCCGATTCTTTCCTTGTGCAGAAAAGCAAACAGGACACTTCTACGGCCCCGGGAATACATCACACTGATGGTGAATGAAAGGCTTCCGGCCCAGGGCAGGGCAGGTTCGGGTCCTTCCTGGTTTTCTGCGTGGCTGACGACAGCACCTCCTCCTCTCCCACGTCTCCGGAGGGTCGTGTGCACTTCCTTCTTCCACGGGGTGCTCTAACTTCTCCAAAAAGCTTTAACTCCATCACGTCGCAAGTGTGTGTTACAGCTGTCTACCCACAGAGCTTGCGCTCCCAAAGCAGAACTTTGACTACGAGTAAAGTTGAAGTCACTTTAAAGCTACCGAGTGTGCTGTTGCCTGGATCACGCTTCGGCTAGACCGCCCCGTAAAACTGGCCTCCTCGCGAGGTGTGTGATATTTTATTTTTCTTCCCCCCAAAGCTTCACAGGCTGCCCTGTCTTTGCTCAACACAGCTAGCCTCACTCTGTGCCTGCAAGGTGTGGTACGTTTCAGTATTTTTAAATATGAAGGGATACGATTAAAAAAAATGGAACCTCGCCTTTCTCGCCCGTATGCATTTCTGCAAGATAAGTTTCTCAGTCAATACTGCGCATGCCACCCACGGCATCGTTGAGCCACGCTGGATCTTCGTGGCCGGATTCTTCCCAACTCTGCCCACAGCCCGCATTCCGCTGACCCTGTCTCGTCTCAGACTCTTTTTTTTTAAGATTTTATTTTTAGAGAGGGAAGGGAGAGAGATAGAGAGAGAGAGAGAGAGAGAAACATCCATGTGCAGTTGCTGGGGGTTATGAGCCGGGGCTCTCGTCTCAGACTCTTCATCAAACATGTCCATTGTGTGTGCTCTTATTAAAAACTGTATGCACCTTTGAGAGAAGGGGTTTCTATCCTCGCTCTAAATACTCCTGTGTGCCTGCACACACGCATTCAGGAACAGAGCATGCAGGAGGCCCTGAATAAGAGTGTTGGACCCCACCACTCACAATGGGAGAACTCCGGCCCTATGCCGTGGTAAGCTGGAGACAATCTGTATGGGGGATGACTGAGTCTAGTACAAAGGCTCACCAGTTTAGAAAAAAGGATCCCAAGCCAACAGATAGAAGTTATTAGAGAAAAAATGTCAATTCCTCACCGTGCCGAGAGGCCCCCACTGCGGTGTCAGGGTAACGGAGATGCACTAACTCTCACGCACCCAGAGCGGTGTGAGGTGGACCTACACACTTTACATGTGGTCACTCACTTCACATGTACAGTAGCCCTCACGGTGGTAGCTGTTCTCTCACGCTTCACAGTGTACAGAAGAGGAAACTGAGGCACAAAGGAGTTCATTGACTCGTCTCCGGTTTTTCTCACCAAACCTTTCAGCAGTCGAACTGAGCTTTAGGAACAATAAACGTTCAGAGGTCTCGCTGGGGAGCAAGTGGCAGGGCCAACCGGAGTAGGAGCCGGAGGAGGCCAGTCAGAGTCCCTGTGACCCTTGTGCCCCCAGTGTCCTGGAGCACACACCCTAGCAATGTGAACTGGCCACAGTTTCCCTCCCCTGCCCCGAAATTCCCTTCCCAAAGGAATCCCAGCCCTTGGTGACGCTAAAAAAAAGTCTGCCCTCTGCGATGCCCTGGGGACTGAGAGAAGCGGGTGGGAAGTAGGGGTTAGCAAATAAACCGCCCCCTTTCCCAAATGCAAGAGGTGCTGTCAGGAGCAAAGGCCCACAGGACTGCCCACAGCAGCCTCTGTGGACTGCGGGAACATCCCCTGACAGCTTGCCTTGGTGACGGGGCCAAACAGGGACAGGGTGGGCCCCAGGGGTTTCGCTGGGAGGAGATCGCCAGGGGCCGTTTGGCCTGGGGGAGGAAGTGGGATTTTATGGAGAGTAATGGGCCGCCACTCCGAGGGCGGAGCTCCCAAAGTTCTTGTCGATTATTAGATCTATGTAAGCTCCTCCTGCAAACGGTTCTGCAATGGAGAGAAATCCGTGAAACTCAGAACACCTGCGAGGCCCACCTGGCTTCGCGCGAGCCCAGGGCACTCGGGCAGCCCTTTCTGTGCTCAGCTGCTAGACCTCTGCTGCGGGCGAGAGAGACGGATCCTGGAATCCTGGAATCCTGGAATCCTGACCTCCTCGGAGAGGTCCCGCAATCACAGCACGAGCAACACAGACTCAACCTCCAATGAACTCGACACATTGAGGGAGAATTTTAGGCGGTTCGCTGGGAAATGTGTCCCAGTTTGGCCCTAACCCGTGGCCGTTTTGTGGTCTTACGGCCTTTTCTGGCCTTAAGAGGTCCATGGCCTTACTGAGCTTCACCCGCGAGGAAGCCGGAGAGAGAAACCTGGCCATTGGCTCTCTCGTTCCAAGGGTCGCTTCCATTTGGTCCCCCTTGTTTCTCTCTGAACTTCAATCCCCGCCTCTCACCAGCCCCGGTGGGATGCCTCGCCTTCCCAGGCAAACGAGCTCCTCCGTCTCGGTTTGGACTCCTGTTCTCTCTACTCTGTTCTGAATACCTCTCATTTCCTTTATTTTCATTTATTTTTAAAGATTTTATTTATTTATTTTTAGAGAGGGAATGGGAGGGAGAAAGGGAGAGAAACATCAATGTGCGGTTGCTGGGGGCCGTGGCCTGCAACCCAGGCATGTACCCTGACTGGGAATCGAACCTGTGACACTTTGGTTCACAGCCCACGCTCAATCCACTGAGCTACGCCAGCCAGGTCATTTCCTTTATTTTTAAAAGTGCATAAATACTGCAAGAATAGATACTCTCTGGGAAAACTGATTAAAACAGACGTTTGAGTGCAGAGAGTAAAATCCCCACCCATCCTAATCTTCAATTCCCCTCCGCACCCCAAAGGTAACTGGCGAGTATAGTTACAAGAAACCCCTTTCATTCTTGCATTCTTATATCCACGCAAATGCTCGTGTGTCCAGAGAGGGACATACACACACACACACACATATTAGTGCAACAGGAAACACATAAAACATGTTGTTGTGCAACTTGAGCTTCCCACCGTCTCGGAGAACTTTCTGAGCAGCAACAGCCAGCTCCTACCGTGCAGCCACTGCGGAGAATTTCATTGAAGGAATGCACCGCAATACGTTTTAACTGTGCCTCTACAGTCATGATGGGCTTTTGAAGCGTTTTGTGATGCAAACAATTTCCTGCAAATGCACATCTTTATGCACAGTTTTAGCAGTTTCTTTGGGATAGATTGTTGGAAGTGGAAAAACTGGATCACCAGGGACTGGCGATGGAAAAATTTGATAGGTACCAGCAAATCGCTCTCAAAATTACCTCATCACGTTACACTACACCAGCTGTTTCTGAGAGGACCCAATTCTTGGAGCCTTTCCTAACAACAACCATGAGTTTTTAAATCTTTTCTAATCAGTTGGATACAGAACATTCATCTTGTTTTTATTTCTTTCCCTGATAATTGGCGGGGTTGGGCACATTTTTAAATGTTTATTGGACATTTGTATAGTCTTTTGAGTATTCAAGTATACTTGAGTATGACTGCCTGCATGCCCTACCCGCCCTATATTTTCCTGCTGGGGTTTTTTTCTGGCTTTTTATTATTTATTCATAGGAGATCTTTACATATTCTGGACAGCGATCCCTTTTCTATTATGCTTTTTAGTCACATGGAAATTTAACATTTTTATCTATTAACAACAATGAAAAAAAAATTTAAGGTAACTTCTTCGGACCAAATACTGCCTGCCCTCTTCGAAAAATCTTTCCTTACTTTCAACTCACTGTCATTCCCTCTTCCCTGAACTCCTCGTTTCTAGACGGTAAGTTCCTTGAAGGCAGGAGCTGGTTTTACTCCTTGTAGCACCCACCACGGAGCTGGCAGTAGAGACTATTTTAATGTACTGCACAGTAGTAAAATGGCTAATTATCAGATTGACTTAAAGTCTTTTTTTTAAAGATTTTATTTTATTTTATTTTTTAGAGAGGAAAGGGAGGGAGAAAGAGAGAGAGAAACATCAATGTGCGGTTGCTGGAGGTCATGGCCTGCAACCGAGGCATGTGCCCTGACTGGGAATCGAACCTGCGATGCTTTGGTTCGCAGCCCACGCTCAATCCGCTGAGCTACGCCAGCCAGGGCCTAATTATCGTCTTTTGCTGCTGGTTTAAATCCCTTGACATCTAGATCGCCCGTGACTTACTCTCTGTTCCCACCAGCCCTGAATGGCCCTCTGCACAGCCACAAGCCTGTTGGAGGTGCTCAGTAACCACGCACTGATCCATCGACTGGAGTCTGTTCTTTTGCTATGACCTTGTACATTTCAGGCTTTGTTCTCAAAAGGGAAGCGCGTCCTTAAGAGAGTTCCATGGGATACAATTATCTTAGGAGACTTCCCCCCAAAAGGGTTCCAGATTTAAGTCCGTTTGAGGAAAAGTGGATTAACTGAAGTTAAATAGTTTTCTCTCCCATTAATTTGAGTCTGTAATATGCCTAACTGTGAGGGACGTGTGGTCTTTCCAAAAAATTTCTAGATGACTGAACACTTGGAGTTTTGGGTTTTTGTCTGTAAGTTGTGTTCCATGTAATTTCTATTTTATGTGTGTGTGTGTGTGTACATACACTTAATTCATGTAAAAACTCACAATATATATTTCTCCTTTGTCACATCAGTTGTGAAACACCTTCCTTCAACACTCATCTCCAGGAGGCTTGTGATGACGCGCTCTCACGTGACACGGGATCAGATTCCGACTCTCCAACTCAGCGGAGATCTACCTGCACGAGGTGCAAAACCACATTGTTACGACATCCAGTCTGTTTCCTTACCTGAAAAATGGAGAGCATAATGGCTCTTCCCCCCTAATGGCTGAAAAAGGGGATTAAATGAGATAAACACCCGAGAAGAGAACTACAGAAATTGCTTACTCTCTTCTCCACGGGGCGGGCGGAGTGCGTGGGTTGGGGCGTCTTGCGGCCTCCCCAGCCGACGCAGAGACGCAGATCTCGGGGAAGACCC